TGGTGAAAGCTTTCGGAGAACAGATGTCACCTTGTTTCACAACTCGTTTTACTTTTATTGATATAGAATCGTCGAAGAGGGCTCTGTATGTGACTCTAAGAGATAACTTTCATAAAATGGCCAACTGTTAAAATGGAGAGAATCCCTGGGATTCAGACAAGCTGTATCTTAAATTTAAATTTAATTTTTCCGTCATTTAACACTTCATCTTTATCGGAGATACTTGTGAAGCAAGTTGATGCCCATTTAAAACAAACGTGCAAACACACCGGCTTTTCTGACCAATCGGCTTTTTCTGCACATTGAGTGATATGGCGTTTTGGCTTTTGGAGCGATAGGATCTCTTTTGGCTCACAATCAATACTCCTTTTTTGGCTGTTAGCCAGATATTTTAAGATTTCGAGCAGTTTTTTTCTTGCCAGAAAAATTGTTGTTCGGATTCTAAAAGTTCAAAGAATTTCCGCTGCATCAGATCCAGGATTTTTTCGTCGCCAAAAAAAAATCAAAAAAGACCATTACTAAATTATGTTTTGCTTTATTAGCTGGGAAAGCTTTTCTGGAGGCTGTTCTGTCTGTCTTTTTTAGCTGTTATAAATGTTTCACGGATGAGCAAGCGCTGCTGGAGCATATCCCAAAGCATAAGGAGTCGAAGCACTTAAAGGTATTTTACCATGGGTCAGTTATAAAAGTGTTACTTTTGCAAATGAACAATCCTTATTTTGTTAGCGATTTTCTTCATTTTTTTCTTCGAATGTAAGAAAAACGTCTAGTTTGGTTACACGCTACGCCGAATCAAACTTGTCCAAAAAAGCCGAAGTCAAACTTACGTCAAGAAACGCCAAGATTGATATGGACATGGCGCATGTTTTGTATTAGCCAAGAAGTCAAACCTGCCAACAGCTTTCATCCAAGCAGCCTTTGAAGCACTGCCAGCTTTGTCAGAAATTGGCTGCTTCTGGCATTTGCTACTATTCAGGTTACATCTCGAGTGCCATCGTTTGTCATGGAGAGCAAATACAAAGAGGATTTTGGTTTTAGCAGCTGCATTAGTATCCGGTGGCTCCGATCTGTATTTTTGATTAATATTTACTTTTTCAGGTACATATTTGTCCATACTGCGGTAAATCGTACACTCAGCAGACATACCTTGCAAAACACATGACCAAACACGCAGATAGGCGAAACATGTACGTTTTATATTATTTATAAACCGAAATTCTGCATATTCACTGATTAGTCGTCGCTAACCGCTGAATGCTCTGACGCTGAAGGTACCAATATTACAGAAATAGTGGTGAACTGAAATATGAGAAATTTATATGACTGATTCTGCAACATTTGGCGATCGGTATGCTAGCGTTTAAGGTATATGTGGTCGGTCTGTGGGTGGTCCCTTTCAGATGAAATTTAAAAAAACAAAGCATCTCTTAAAAATCTGAAACTTTCGGCTCTGCCACTAGGATAGCCAACCTCTTCATGACAAGAACATTCGTTTTGATGAAAATTTGCTTCTAAGCAACTGCCATCAGCTTTTTTAAGCAACCCTGAGAAAAAAGGGATCTTGTAAAGAATGAATCCAAAGTAGATTTTGACTTTTGAAATTTAGTTGAATTCTAGTGCCACATATTTTCTTAGTTTATATTTTGTGTGACTGATATATCTAGCTGACAATCCCGTATCACTGAGCTGCGAGGGACAGCGGCCGTTTGGGCGAACTCTGCAGAAATGACGAGTAGCCGGGTGATAACAGGATCAAGTAGAGTAAAATGGGCGAACCTTTTACTAATGGAGCCTCTTTTTCAAAAAGAGTTGTTGAATTTGGAAGGGCATCGAACCACTGCTCCTCACATTCGGACGCGACATGCTGTCCACTACACCACAGGCTTCTGTACCAGCCTGGTAGCACATCTGTTGTGTATCTGCCTTTCAAAGCAAAAAACATCTGTCATTTCTTCGTGCCTTCCGTAGAAAGTATACATCCTTTTTTGGAGCAGCTTCTTATTTGCCAACTTTTCACGGGTTTTCTACGATGGTGCACTCCAGTGCACTCCAACAGCATCGAGGGCTTCGAGCTGTTTTTTCGGACCACTGCTTATTATTAAGATATACTGTTCGAATGTGAGTTTTTGACGTCAAATGCGTGACAAATCCAGTAGGGTATTTTTTGGGTATTTTTTTTCATTTCTTCATTTGTTCATTTCCCTTCATTTCTCAATCAAAAATGCGGCCCTGGATTTGTCACTTGCAAAAACGAATGGAATTTTATTTTTTCATGATACTTTTTTTTCGTGATACTTTCTCGCTTTGCAGCAACAATTTTGTCGAAGGTCTGGAAGGTTTAAACGCGTGGCGGAATGAAACCGTTGCCGCTTCCTCAGCACCGTCAATGGCTGCCGCAGCAGCGCACGGTATTCCGGACTTGACGTCCGTGACGCAACCTCAAATTGATTTCAGTTCGTTTGTTTTGTTTTCAAGGATTTTTGAATTTGTGCAAATTAAAAACGCATTATTGTCGAGATTATGTCTCTGTATGCATGTATTCGTGCGTATGTGTGTTATACTTAAGTGAATATGCATTTTTTTTTATTTATGCATGCGTATAATAAACGTATTTTTTCATGTGTGTATGTGTGTGTATATGGAAGAATAACTTTAAAACAGCAATATCTGGGGATGTTAAATAGTGGGAAGGCGGTTTCTGATCTTTCTCACAATCTCACAGTTTCTGACTAACTTATCTTTTCGTTTCGTATCCTGGCCTATAATCTTAGGCCTTAATTTGTAGCTAATGAGGTGGATTATCAAAATTTGGAGTTAAATTTGTTCGGCATAAAGTAGCTTTTAGGTTTTGAAATAGCCTTTTGATGCTGAACTCACAGCGTTTCGGCCCGCTTTGGGGACCGTTTCAAAAGCTTTACAACGATGCAAGCAAAGAATCTGAGATTGTGCTTCTTTGCATTTGTTGAATGTATTACAAAACTAGTACTAGAAAAATCCCTATGTTTTATCTCCTAACTTTGTACGTTTCGCAGCCTATTTTAAAAGCAAAAAAAAAAACGACTGATTCGAATCGTCATTAAAATTGTTTCTCAAAACGTGTTTTCCGCAGTGGAAATACTTCAGCTAAGGCTCGAATCCTTCCAGTGTGACAAACAGTCCCTGTACAATTCGTTCATTCCTTTTCACGGTAAATTGGTACTGGCATGTGACACGAAGTTAAACTCAAACCATCAGCTTGTTTCTGGGCAGCGCTCATTGATAAATTTGACAATTTCTCGGATGTCAAAGACAGTAAAATGATTTGTTGTAGGTCATCGATTGCAGGTCATTTCAACGCAGGGATACAGGCTTCGGTGCTGTCGGCCGCAAATCAGTCTGCTGCAGCCGCTGCGACCAGCTCGGCGACAAGTGCAGCGGCTGCTGCAGCATGTACGTATCCGAGTGCTGCTGCCGCTGCGTCGACTGCTGCAGCAAATCAGATGATGGTTAATGATCCGTCTGCATTTCGTATCAATATGGCTGCATTTGGGCGAACGCTGGGCACATCCAGATCCTATTTCCCGTTTGACAATCCAGCATTCAAATCGGAAGCACAAAGGCCGGCTGGGTAATGCTTGCCATTTCCGATTCACTTGCTATAATTTTGATACTGATAATAAACTGCTTTTAATAGGCTCTAGAAATTAGCTGAAGGTGTGCAGTCCGGGACCGAAGGCCTAGCATATTTGTGCCTGTCATGTACGAGTATCGCAGTAATATCACCAACAAATGGTATGTCACGCACCGACCATCGGGCGGGCTGTCTTGATATTCTTCGTACTAAACCGAGTTAAGCCTCAAAAGTGAAATATCACGTACCAACATATAGACATGTCAGAAAGTCTATGTAGTGTTTGTGTTTTCGCAGATAGCCTGCTAGCAGGCACTGAACAATGGGAATTAACCCTTTGTGAGATACAGAAGTCGGCGGTTCACCGATGGTACATCCTGTCTCTGTACGTTCATTCGTTTCGTTAGTAAACTGGTATTGACATATCCAGGAAGGTCAAATCCATCATTAGCTTGCTTGCAAGTAGTATTTTAACGGAGAATTCATCAATAGCCTTGCCAACGAGTAGATACAATTCGAATTTACTAATACTAGAATTGTTTTCAGAGTACTTCCGCCTCTCATTAAGGACAAACATGAGGGGGATTTTGAGTTTCATTATTTTGTTGCTAACGCATTCCATTTACCGAATTTTTACAGATTCAATATGATAACACCATTGGAGAAGATCCAGTGTTACACGCAGCAAACATCATCAGCATCCAGTGTTCAGGATCAACAGTTCCAGAATACAATGCTCAATTACAAATGAATTTATAATAATCGAATTTAGAAGAAGAAGAGGAAGTTCATTCGGGTCTTCAATTTTCTTCGCTAGCGGGCAATTTTGTTCTTTTCCCGAGGACGATGACAGTCACAATGTGTATGCCATTATTTCTTTTTTTTTTTTAACTACGTCTTGTTATCTTAATGCTGCTCCTCCGTATTTCTTGCATTTTTTTTCTTGTCGGCCGGTCAACCAGTGTTTTGCGTTTGTCCACCATCATCTCAACAAGGGAAAAATATCTACTGTCCATTTAAGAACCTACATTTCAGAAAATCGCTTTGTTATTGGGAGATGAGATAACTACTGTTAATATAAGCTTCTCTGTTTTAGATCCACCATCATTTGTCACATAGACGAATCCAAGAGTCTTACCACATTTGATCCTTCCCAACATTATTGGCTTTCAAATTCATGAAAATATAACCAGTCCCCGGAGATATCTCAGAATTGAAGAAGTTAAGAGTGCGGCTTGGGAAAAGGGTCAGCGATGTACAAGAATTTCAATTGTCCTTGCGCCTCACTTCAAATTCGGCACAACAGCACCGCTGTTTCATCCAGTTTTTAACAGTTTCTGTTTCCTCGGTGCGGTTTCTCTCGAATGCTTGGAGCTTCCAGTGCTTACGCTGTCCTCGGATCTGGGCTTGTCTCGCCCGTACGTCTCAAAGCAAGTTGTCAGGGGTGGTCATTCTAAAGTTCACTGCGCGATTATCATTCAGCATTACCGCCGGGTCCATTTGACATCTTTCAGCATGGTCACTACCATTAAAGTCCAAACTGTTTGCTGAAATTATCCATGCTGTAATGACAGGCAAATAGCATCCAGCCCCACAGTTTATGTATAGGCATTGTTAACATTCCTTACGAATGGTTTCATTTTTGTGCACCTGAAAATGTCTAAATTTTGGGGAAAACAGATGTTGTAATTCAACACCGTTTGTTTGCTTGCAAATTTTTTGGAGCTTTTTTCGAGGATGTCCTTAGAAATTTGTACCAATCAGTTCTGATTGTTTCTACGGCTCATAAAGGTTGAATTATAAGGTCGTTCGTTTCCGTAGGTTTTAAGAAATCTAATGAAAAATGCTATAAATGCATGAACCGTTTCGGTTTTTTGCAAGTCCAGATCTTTCCAGTCCGATCAGAGTACTTTCGAAAGGCCAGTAAAGTCATGGCTTTGCGCTGATGAGCCTTTGTTTTATTAAAAGAGGAGAGTGAGAGAGAATTCTGAACAGACTCAAATAAGTTAAAGCTAAACCAAAAGCTAAATTTTTTGAAATTCTAATTTTTTGGACAATCGCTTTTCGTATTTGATCAGTCCTTTGCAGCCGTAGCAGCACTATTTTGCACCAGTTCAAATAGTATTAAACAGTGAGAGCGATGATAACCTGCGTGGTGGTGAATTCCTGGATTCCTGCACATTCGACAAATAATCAGAGGCAAAATCAGTAATCAGTTTTAGGAGATCCATACAGCACTGCGTGCCCCTGTGTAGCCGCTGGAGACTCCCCCTCAGGTTGCGTTTGTGAAATTTGGTTTCAGTGCTTGCTAATATTTGAGTTACAGTAGTATTTTATCTGGATATCGGTCAGTACGTCCACTTTCGACATTACGCTCTCACTCACGACCGTTCGCTAAAAAAAAAGTATTATTTTCAAATTTTTTAAACTTCTAGCCGTTGGGCCATAAGCAAGCTGCCATCTTCCTGTCATGTTGCTTTCACGTAAAAGGCACAACTTCAGCCGATGCGTCGGATTATTGGAAACGATTACCGTTATCCGGCACGTACCGAATTTCTCCGATGCAATAAATCTTTCCGGGCCTTCGCAATCCCTGTGCCGTTCTGGTTACGTGTGTCAGAAAAAATTGCCACAGCGAAGTTCTAGCGATTATTACGGGCATTTTTTGTTGGGGATTTCACGATATAGTACAAAAGTGGTAGCGAATAAGTTGGTACAACTTTGGCCCAATTTTTCTGGTTATTTTGGCTCGAATATTGGCTGTTACGAGTGTTTTAGATGATGTAATTAGGAAAACGCTTTTCAGATAATATTTTCCGTTTCTTGAACATCTACGATCTAACCCTAGACATTAATATTTGAATGACAAACTACAGTACATAGTTTACGGTGGCACAGCAGATACTGTTGATTTAGTCTACGAGGAGCGTGAAAAAGTAAAAAGTGAAAATCCTGTTGAGTTTTCAAGTATATATTTAAAGTATCTAAGATGTTTTAAAATTAAGCCTAGTAAGTAAGCCGGTGTCGTAATTAGGCACTAATTATTGGTAGACTACGGTGTTTGGCTTACGGTTACACGGCAGATAATGTAGCACAATATGTGTAGAAACACAGAGATTAAGAAACCGGTTGGATTTTTATACACGTCCTAAATGCACGTTGTTTTTCCTTGGTACTTTGGGCCGCTCAAAAGAAATGAGCCAGCGCTGTGCATACTGCCATCTGATTAAGCAATTTTTTAGCCATTCGTCTGAAAAATTGTCTTTTTTGGTTAAAAAGTATGATCGTTTCGGGACCAGTGTCTTTCCTTCCATCTCTCTTTCTGTCTCTCCAAAGTATGCGTGTGTCACAAACAGCGCTCGAGATCCATGCTATGAACGAATTATCCCTGTCTCGAAGTTAAAAGAAAAAATAAAACTCTATGGTAAAATTCTTGGCCCAAGCCTTTCTTATTAAAATTAAGGCTTCAGATACGCAGCGCTGTTTGCTTTTTTTAAGAATGCGTAAGAAAGAGAGGAGAAATTTTCGTTCTCCATGGATCCATCGAATAAAATAAGTCCTTCATCTTTGGAGCAAAAAGATTTCCGAGCTGGAAAAAAATTTCACTGACCTTTGACCTTAAGCTGTAGCAAAAACTACTAGTTTCCAAACAGCAACAAAATGCTTCTATCTGGGACTGTAAAAAGTTTTTTGCGGTGGAGCTGTTTTAAATCTTAAAAGTTGATTTCTAGGAGCCGACTACTTTGCCAGTTGTTAGGCATCATTTGTTTTTGGTCCAGCTTCTTTCGTCTCGTTTTGTCCCTCATCCTCTTCCTCTTCACTGTTTGTACTCATAAATGTAATGTCGTCAAAGCACGTCGACTCTAAACATGCAAGAAAACAGCGCATTTTTTTATGGATTTTTCGATTTTTTTTTTATCGAGTACTAATTCTGCCAAGATTTTTTTAATATCACTCTTTTGGCGTTAGATTTTTCTTAGAAATCAAAAAATTGCATGGATACAGCATTCAAAATACGCATTTGGCCAAGTATCCCATACTTTGCAAATTTTCCTCAGTGTTTTGTCGCTGAAAGGCTGAAGTGCTCAGCACTTGTTTAGAATTCTCAGTCTTTTCAGCGGGTAACACTGAGGAAAATTTGCAAAAAATTTTGTTGAAGACTGGTTCAAGGTCTTATCTGTATTCTTGATTATTTCCTCAAAAAATATGAGGATGGTGCTTGCACCCACCGGTAATACGGAGGAAAATTTGTAAAACACCCATTGAGGTAAGTATCAAAATCGAATACCAAAACTTTCGCTTGTAGTTTTCTGCATGAAATGTGAGGCCGAAGTTCTGTTTTAAATCTACACTGACTGATGTAGGCCGTGGGTAAGACTTCGCCGGTACGAAAATCAATCCTCGCGCAATCCGTTCATTGGTAAACTGGTACTGGAAGCTGAAAAGACACACCGAATAGGCAAGAATTATGCGTGAGAGAGGTAACGACGAATAGTTACAGTCCAAGTTCCATGGGTTCCTGGACTGTATTTGTTCCTCGTGAACTCTTCTTTTTGACCAGAATAGTTAGGCCAAGCACATTTTCTGAACGATTCATGTAATTTTTCGATTTTTGAGCGATTTTTTTTT